CAGTGGATTATGCATTGAAAGAAAACGGTGGAACTGTTATCCAACAATAGAATTATGAATAATTGATGGAGACAAAAGGACGACGGCGGGTCTGTTGTCCTAGTGGATTATGCATTGAAAAAAAAGAAGGTAGAACTTTGTCCAATAATGGAATTATGTATAATTTGTTAAGATAAAAGAACGGCGGAGGGACTGTTGAAGTCGGTTATGCAGCAATGAAAAAAAGTAGATATAGAACAGGACAATGGTGAGGTAGTTATCTAATTGGGTTCTGTTTTAATGCATACCAAAAAATCCCACTACGGAAACATGGAGATGGGAGGAGAGGTATCTTTATTGGCAGCAGCTTGAAAGCCACCCCAACGCAACAATAGCTCCAGAGTTCTGACGACAACGTCAGTACCTTCCTAGGCAAAACGACTAAGGCTGAGCAGCGGTCATCTCAGTACCAGCAAAACACCCAAATCAAATGTTTTTGCGAAACGTCGTCATTGTCTAATAACAGATCTACGACATCCATCTGTCTATAATAAACGACAATTTCATTCTCGGCCCGTCTTTGAGTTAACTGCCTACCAACGTTTATCTTCGAAGACGTATCGTTGCTTTATGTTGCAAGGCGAAGAAACAAGTTTTCGTCGTGTCGAAATGACGCTCTTCTGCGTTTGTTAAATACTTCATAGGAAAGTTGTTTACGAAGAAATTATGAAAACGGCATTTTTCTCTTCGCAATCGATTAAATAAAATTGTCGATAAAATGCCACGTTTGTCTCGCACGATTTTTGTTCAGTGAAATGACCAGGTTGAAGTACATTATTTCGACCTGGTTATTTTCAATCGACCGAGCGCACACATGCCACTGTCGTTAAACTTTCTTTAAAAAGGTGTTAAGGGACGTTTTATCCTCGAGTAAATCGTAACGTCGCTTTGTTGTATTGTAAATCGAGTGAGAATATGAAAAAAATGGTAATAGCTCTTCGTCTTCGTAATTATTAAATGTAATTCCTGTCGAGAAACGGCACGTTTCGACGGCAGGTTTTTTTTGTCAAGTAAAAT